CAGCAGCAACTCGGCTCCCCACAGGCACGCTATTGGGCTTTTTGTGGAAGCAAATGAGGAGACACCACTGTCGTGTTCGCCACTTTCTAGCGATGGAATGTCCCTGTCCATCACACACTTTTGACTCTCACAACGACACGATGCTTCCGCAGTGACGCTGCAACACGGCCGCCGAGTGCCTGACCCGGGACGCACGCTCCGTCGCTGCGCACGCACAGCTGACGCAGCGTGACACGCACGACGCCCAGGTGTCGGGCGCGCCGGTAGCGACACCGACCAGGGGAGCGTGTTTCCGGGGGGCGAGCGAGAGAGCCGGGGGGGTTTCGTTTGATTTCCGGTTTCCAAAAGTCAACTCACCTCACCCAACTCGCCATCATCACCGCCACCGCACGCCCGGCGCCCGGATGCAGAGAACCCCTCGGACCCCCCGAGGCTCACCAGAGCGAGCCGGAAACAAAAACAGCCGGCGCCCTGCTCCCTTACGGACGCCATGGACCTCGCGACATGAGACTGCGCAGCCAGCGGGGCACACAGCTGTGCAGCCATGAGGGCCGGCGACCGCGCGCAGCCCATGACGGCGGGACATGGCCAGGACATGGCGGGACCTCCGCGGCCGGGCCGGGGGCCGGGCAGGCTGCATTCGCTCCAACCACTCGAGTCTGATGCGCGCCGGCCCGGCCCGGCCATGCAGCAAGGACTCCCCGCGCAGTCGTTTGCGGACCGCACCCGGCAGACGGACGGAATCAAGAAAAAAAACTTGTGCAGTCATCGCAGAGAGGTTCACGCCGATGCACCGCGCCGCCGAGGGCCGGGGAGCTGATTTCACACGAGATGGGCGCGGCGATAGCAGCGTCTATGGAGGGTATTTAGTAGAGTTGTAATTGTTCTCACAGCTAAAGAGACCGGCGGCGTCTCTCTCGAGCGCCGCCCGGTGTAACGGGTGTAATGGCCGGACTGAACAGTGTGCGGCGCAGCCAGGCGCAGCAGCAGCAGCTGAGCCCGCGAGGGGACAATTGGACGGCGAGCCTTGCGCAGCGCAGCGGCGGACAGGGCGTCCAGCGGAGCGGCCGCGGCCGGTCCCCGAGTACAGCAGCAGTACGCACGCGAGCGGCCCGCGCCATGCTCTCCAACGGCGACGTCGACGGCGAGGTGGCTGATTCACCAGAGTCCTCACAAGCCGAGGCACTCTGTACACTCGAGTGGAGATTATTCTTTTGGCGAGGTAAACGTCGCAGAGCAGCGTGGCCGTGCGGGCGCGGCGGGGGGTGGGGCGCGGCCGTGTCGCCTCCATTGCCGCGCCGCCGCCCGCCGCTGCATCGCGCCGGGGGCCGTGGGGGCCCAAGGTTGCCATCGGCTGGATGCGTCACATCCGTTCGGAGGGACGAGACTGGCTGTGACTGTGCCGCTCCGCGTCGCGGGGAAGGGAGCCGACGAGCCGACCGAGGAGCGGACAGCTGGAGGACTTAATAAAAATACAACGACAAAAAACACCTAAAACAATGAGTGCCCCATTCGTCCACCATCATGGCAGCTGGCAGCATGGGCCGTGCACCGCGAGCAGACATCACCATCACAAACCATAGCAACAACACTGCGGTGGTGCCGTCCCGACAAAACATTGCGGCAAGACGAAGCTCGGCTCCGCGGTGCAGCAAAGTGGCACGCGGGGGCCGTCCCGGGCCGTCCACGGGGCCCTGGTCGCGACACGGCCGCGGGCAGCGCGCGGTGCAGGCGGCGCAGGCGGTGCAGGCTGGCCGCGCCACTGCCCCTCCCCCGCGCTGCCGTCCAGGCCCAGGGGCCCCGGGGGCCCAGGGTCCGGGCCGTCCGAGCCCGGCCCACTTTGCCCGCCGTCTCATTGTAAAAATAATAATGGGGGAAAAGTGTGCGGCGAGACAAGAGCCGACCGCAGCAGCGCACCGGGGTTCAGTAACTGCAGCCGCATCTGCAGACTGATTCCGAAGAGCGCGCAAGGGGCGCTGCCCCAAGAGTGTGACAAGGACGGAGGTATATACAGGGTCTACAGGGTTGTCCACAGACCCCTTCCTTTCTTTTGCTTATGCTGGGTGCGGGCTTGCCTATCGTCGCTCACCGCGGCGCCTTGGCCCCGTGCGAGTATGCAACCCGTTCGCACGCCTGCCTGCGTTACAGTATAAGCAACATGAAGGAAGGGGTCTGTGGACCACCCTGTAGGAGAGCGCTCTTCGGAATCAGTCTGCAGAGTGTCATACCTCGAGGGCTGGTACCCTGGAGGTCAAACTTCGCAGACTCAGTCAACCCAGTCCCAAGCGAAAGCGCCAGCGCCTGGTCGCGCCATAAGGCCATTCTTTTTCTGCCGGGCAGTGTACATACGGTTTCTCCGACGGCTGAAACACGTCACACGTCCATAGCAAAGGGCTTTACGGATTTCGGCACTGTCGGGGTTTCCTGCGTTCGAGTGGAGGAAGTCGATCCGGCCTAGGAGTGGGGGGGGGGGCGAGGCTTAACGGCCAGGCGTGTCCCTAGACACCCCCCCCCCCCCACAAGGGTCGCGATTCCGCGCCCTTCCACCGTGTCATCAAAGATCGCCCTGAGCTAGTTAGTGGCCGGGCCGGACGGGGTTGGACATCCTGGCCCTGGCGAAACGACCCTGCAGCCTACAGACAGGGGGCGCACCCACCCCCAGGTCCGACCGAACTGTACTGTGCTAGACTGTACCAGACCAGAGCTCGTTCGTGCAGATTCTAATTAGCGACGGTCCTTCTGGCCGAGCCAGGCCAGGCCCAGGCCTTCTCTGCAAAAGCTGTGACGTAACAAGGCCACGCGAAGCCCGCATCTCCGTCAAACTCGTGAAACTTTTAGACCGCCTTGGGGGCCAGCCCAGCGCCAAGTGCGAATCGCAGCTCCGGGTGACCACGACGACCACGATCGGCAGGCGGAGAGGCTACAGGCGTCGGACACATATTATTTCGGCGGGCAGCGACGCCCACAACACAACACACGTGAGCTCCGTAGCTCCGCGCACAGCACGGCGTGCACGTTTGTGCTGAGTGGGCCCCGCCCCGCCCAACCCACGCACCGCCAACCAGGGCGCCCGCCACGCCCCACCACACCGCGGCCCGCGACCTGGCCTCCCTGGCCTGCGCATCTCAATGGAAACAGAAACAACAAAGCGTCTCGCCTTGCTCTGGACGAGGGGGCCGAGGGGGCAGGGCGGCCGGGGCGGCCACGCGACAGGTGGTCGAGTTGGGCTGACCGGGCTGACCAGCGCTGAGCAGACTCGGCAGCCGCAGCACTCACCAGCACCAGAACGACCGGACACTCACTACTAACATGGTGAGCCTCACAAACAGGCGGGAGCTTCAGGGTGCCCGAACGGAAAAATATATAGCGACAATATGTGAAAAGGAATGGAACGGAATAATGGTAAGAGCAGAGAAATCGGTAGGCTGAGGGTGGCGACGACGCCGAGGTGGGGGGTAGTCGAGAGGGAAAAGGGACAGGACGGGGAACAGCTCGACCACGACAGCAGGCCGGCCACGGTCCCGGACCAAGCAGTCACGCTCCAGCGCCTTCCCCCGTCTCTCCCTCACCCCCTTTGCCACTCTTTCGCAGCGGACTGGTGGCGTAGCAGGAGCCACAGAACCAAAATAAAATAAAATGACCAACAGTCCAGCAATTACGGCCATTTCCCACAAATCGCTCTACCCGCAGCTCCTAGTCTTTCTCCCCGACAAGACGAGATGGGCGTCGCACTAGCAGCGCTCTTCGGTGTGCGCGAGTGGAGGCTTAAGTTGGGTAATGTTAGGGGTCTCATGTCCACAACCGCGAATCAGGGGAATGGTGTATATAACGCACCGGATATTGCGGCGAACGTGCCGGTGCGACCGGGTTTGCCTACCCACCTTACAGGCAAAGGGAGCAGCGGGCGGCTGCGAGCGGGTTTGCATACTCGCTCTGCCCGTAAGGCCCCATGGCGCATCTGGGTAGGCAATACCACGCACACCAGCACGCATACCAAAACAGACGGTTCTCTGCGATATGAAATAAATCAAATTAAGTACACCGCTCGTCGCGCCTTGTGGTTGTTCTGGCCCTGTTGCAGGAGAAGCAACGGGAGGGAAGTAGTGAGGTGGTGAGACTCTGCCTGAAGGTAGGCAACCCGTGCGCTTACGTACCCGGTGTAACTTTGCTCGACGTACGAGACGAGGGAGTCCAGGGGTTGGCACCGAGACCGAAGGTACCGGAAGCTCCCCCCCCCCCCCTTTACACCTGCTTCGGCATGGGGCGGTTAGAGACGGTATAGGGGAAGAGAGACACAATTCAGTCTTGAAACTTGGGTACGATAGTTAGACAGTTATAAACGTGAAACTGAAAACCAGAGTAGATTTATGTTTAAGCTCTGTCGTATCCCTACATAACGCCAATAAGAGCGTATTTAATGCGGCAATGCGCATAGAAATGCACATGAAAGGTCACACATTTTTGACGCATTTAATGCAATATGCGCATAAAATGAGTCTAAAATGCGCATTTTAATTTGCATCACCAGATTGGCGCTACCCGGGTTGGAGTGTAGAGGAGGTCAAAATTCCCATGCTACTCCAAATTTCTAAACCATGCCAACAGATAGGGATAGGAACGACTCGAGCTAGGGCGAGGCCGTACTCAAAACAATGTACCATAGCTTAAATTAAGCAGACTGGGCGTTGCAAACCCAGCAAACTGGAAAATCCTTCCGTCTTTTCAAGTACTAAACTTTTGCCGCCCTCGCGTACAGTCCGCTTGCACACACGAAATCAAAACTCACACAAATATTGCCAGCGATGCAGAACAAATTTATGACGCTGTAAGCAAACTAAAAGGGAGACAAGCGTTACTCGCTTACACATCCGTGCAGATTGGCAATTTGACAGCATGCTGAAGAGATTTACCGCCCCCGCCGCGAGGTTGGTACTCAAACTGACAGGTACGTAAGACTCGCCAGAGCGCGCATTACAGTTAGTTTTCAAGTTTCCACCCACCTGCCAATAAATGTTGAAGACGCAGAACGTCAAAGAAATCAGTTGATCCAAAGACAAGATCGGAGAGCTCAGCGACCGCTTAAATGCAAACACTAAACACGCGGACAGTAGCGTCTGCTCAGGCTCCGTGCGGCGTCCATGCGAAGGACTCGATTCGGCGCTCGCTCCAAGCCGAGCCGAGCAACGTACGTTATGAACTCGGCAATGGCCGAAGCCTTACTACTACTGGACTGGACTGCCTGACTGCCAGCCAGCCTGCGCCTGCCAGCCAGCCAGCCAGCCAGCAGCCAGCCGAGCACGAGCACTCAACGAACTCGACTCGGGCCGCTTCGGCTGCCCCCCCCCCCCTTTCTACCGAGACAGAAGTTACTGCACTTACTGCGCTCGATTGCCTCAGCCAGTTACAGACAGCCAGTGCTGCTAGCAACTAGTCATTGGAGATTTTGAAGATATTTGCAAATTGAGAAGCAGGGTTATTAAAAAAATTATTACATCTGGGAAAAAATGGATTTTATATATTTTTTATTAAACAAGTCAATGTACAAGTGGCAAATAACAAATAAGACACTTAATGAAAAATACCATGCAACAAAAACCGTCCATTCATAGGAAATAAAAAGGCCCATCATTCCAAGAACAATGTTAAGGCCGAGCTTTCCAATTGTCTACACTGGGTAGTATTCTTTGTAAAAAAAAAGGGGGGGAAAAAAACAACTTTCCAGCAGTCTTACATTTATTCCTGTACACCAAAATTGGTTTCAACATAGCAAAAAAAAATGTGTTTGTGTTCCAAAATAGCAAAACAAGTACAGTAGTAAAGTCCAAGCCCATAAATATGTCAATATATGAAAGACAACAAAAAGGAATCTAAAAATAAAAAGGTGAATTTCTTATTGTTTAGGGGAAACAACGATTCAACAGTCTATGAGAGGGCTTTAGACAGTAACAGACCCCTTAACAAAACTGTTTTACTTCTTTGTCACATGGTAACTAATGGTAATTTTAAAATATGATATTCTCATTTTATACACACCAATTTAACTAATATCTACATTTTAAATAAGAGAATTTTTCACTAACGACAAGTTTTATACATTCAGGACCAACATCATCAACAAAATAAATTGATGAATAATTTCTGAGAGAACATGCACAAAATAAATGCTTCACTTCATCTTTAAACACTTCAGTCAGATTCTGGTTCATAATTGGGGGAAGAAGGAGAGTAAGTGGGTGAAGTTGGCGAATAACCTGGTACAGTGGGAGAGAAAGTGGGTGAAGTAGGCGAATAGTTCGGTGAAGTAGGAGTGTAAGTAGGTGATGTTGGAGAGTATTTTGAGCTTGATGGAGAGTACTGAGGAGAGGTTGGGGAATAGGTGGGAGAAGTTGGAGAATATTTCGGGGACGTCGGGGAGTAATGGATACCGCCGGACGGTGTGTGCTGAGGAGAACTTGGAGAATATGAGGGTGATGTTGGTGAATAGGATGGAGAGGTAGGAGAATATGTTGGTGATGTAGGTGAATACTGAGGTGAAGCTGGTGTGTACTGCGGTGAGGAGCTTGGGAAGCTTGGTGAGGTTGGAGAGTAAGAGGGTGAGGTGGGTGAATATTTGGGTGAAGAAGGACAGTAGCTTGGACTGGCAGGGGAGTAGTGGGGTGAACTTGGGGAGTAGGATGGTGATGTTGGGGAGTAGGATGGAGAGGCTGGGGTATAATTTGGCGAGCTTGGCGAATAAGATGGACTTGTTGGACTGTAACTTGGGCTGGTTGGAGAATATGATGGACTCGTTGGTGAATAGGAAGGACTTGTAGGGCTATAGCTAGGGCTGGTTGGTGAATAAGATGGACTTGTTGGAGAATATGAGGGACTTGTGGGAGAATATGAAGGGCTTGTTGGAGAATAGGATGGGCTGGTTGGAGAATAGGATGGGCTGGTTGGAGAATATGAAGGGCTTGTAGGACTGTAACTAGGACTTGTAGGACTGTAGCTAGGACTAGTGGGACTATAGCTTGGACTTGTGGGAGAGTAGCTTGGTGAAGTTGGGCTGTAATTAGGAGATGTAGGTGAATAGGAGGGAGAAGTGGGGCTGTAGTTAGGTGAAGCTGCCATACTGGGAGAGGTAGGGGCATAAGCCGGGCTAGATGGAGAATAGCTGGGAGACCTAGCCCCACCTGGACTGGCTGGAATATAAGGACTCATCGAAGGACCTGGAGAGCCAGGTGAGCCTGGAGTTGGGCTCCAAGCATAGGCTGGAGAAAGGCCACTAGCATCACTAGATGCCGATGGAGAGAATGCAATTCCAGCTGGCGTCATACCGCTGTCAATGTGAGGCGACCAAACACTTCCATACATGGGAGTTCCAGCTTGATTCCATGGTGTCATTTGGGGACTAGATGGTGAAGCTGCAGATCCAAACAGCATTCCTCCTCCCATACCCATCCCAACGCCAATGTTCATAGGAATTTCAATACCATATTTGCATTTCTCCGCATCCAACAGAAGATCAAAACAACCTGTATGTACACAGATAATATAATTTTCAAAATGACAATGACATATGAACTGCGTAAGGGTAGTGCACCATAGCATTCAACTTACCTGTGCCCATGCGCGGCAACTGGCCCATAATTATATTTTCTGACACACCTCTCATAGGATCTACTTCAGCATGAGAAGCAGCATCCATAAGCACATCAACAGTTTCTTCAAAGGAGCACCTAAAAACAAAATAATAACATAGGAATGGAAGAAGATCTTCACACAAGTACAAGAAGTGGAACAGAATGATGAAATATTATTTGTACCTCATAAGAGCTCCAGTGTCTTGTCTGTTGATACCATGACGGGTAATAGCCATAAGATGACCTTTGGCTGTCATGACATCACAAAGCAAAGCCAAGTGTCGGTAGTTGACATAAAGACCATAGAAAGAAAGCACGGCATTCATTTCTTTCTCAACAGATTTTCGAACAGCTTCAATCCCCAGAACTAGGAAAATTTCACAAATGTCGTTGGAAAATGTCCTCACAGGATCAACATCCCGCTCACTTAAAACCTTCATCAGACTAGTACCATCAGTTTCAAGAAGCCATTCAGCAATTGCCTTGAATTCTCCAGTCTCTGTTATCACAATTCTCTTCTTGGAATCTGTTTGAGGGAGATGCATGTACACTTTACCAATACCTTCAATGCCCTGAAGAGTCATATCAGAGAGCATGTTGGCCTCAATACACCGCAAGAACATGTCATCTTCCATTTTATCAACTTGCTCTTCCTCATCTTGGAATTTGCTATCATCACTATTCATTATACAAATACGAAGAACAAGCTTTTCAGCATTATCATCATTGAAAATACAACTCAAATCCTCACCAAAACCAGCATTAATCTTTTCAGCAATCTGTTCCATAGTGAGCTTCTGATCAGTCATCCGCTTACGGTCAAGCTCAATACGAAGAAGCCACGGTGATATCCTTGTGGGGTCAAAGTCAGGCATTTCATAGTAAACATTCACAAATTCTTGATCTTCAGAAATTACAGTGTTTTGAGGATCCGGATCATAATAAATAGCAGTATTTGCTGTGACCTTTCGAAGAGTGGTATGTTCCAACCGACAAAGAACATTCTTGGCTTTCTCAGCATCCCTGGCAGCCACACCAGAAAGAAAAACGGTTAGAGATGGGGCTTTGGGCTTCTTACTAATGTTGATAATTTCCTTCAGCCTAGGCACACCAAGAGTTACGTTCTTTGATGACACACCAGCAAAGTGGAAAGTGTTCAATGTCATTTGAGTGGCAGGTTCACCAAGAGACTGAGCAGCCAAGGCACCTACCATTTCACCAGGTGAACATTGCGCCTGCTGAAATCTTGTCTCAATTTCACCAATCAACCATTCAAAGGCTTCCGAAGATAACCTAAACTCCTCTCCCACACACTTAGTACAAAGTGTTGATCTGACCAGACACTGGAACAACAGTGTAGCATTTTCATTAGCCATTTTGCTCAGCCTATCTTCACCTGCCACAATTACACACTTCTGAAGAAGCTCTTGAACACCCCTAATTACACGAATTGGACTTAGATCAGTGGGAGCTCTTTTGTTAATGTGGAAGATTTTCTGAACATTCCAAATCATTCTTTGAAGGTTACATGGAAGTGCTACTTTGTTGGTACCACTTGGGAAAATTTGACGAAGAGACTCACGGTCCTTACACAACTGTTCCCATTCCTTCTCCAATTCAGAAACAACTTCACCAGATCCCATCAACTCTTTCATGACATCTTCATTGAAGATTCTTCTGAGAGTACGCTCATTAGTAGGGTCAAACTTGAATTTACGCTCAAATGCTTTGTTAGCTAATTTAATGGTGGATAGAAATTGGAACTCTACAGTCTCACCACATAAGCCATCCTCTCCATAACGTAACTGAATAAGTTGACCAACAGAGTTACGAACAGTTCCATCATAGTTCACCATGACAGACTCCATAGCTTTGATCAAACGACGTTGAATATAACCTGAAACATAAAAAAATAGATTAGATTTATTAAAGGGCATATGTGTGCAAAATATTATTTGGTAGATCTTTTAACACAATGAGAGAGGTAAGGATTAATGGGTACCTGTTTCAGCAGTTTTGACGGCAGTATCAATGAGACCCTCTCGACCTCCCATGGCGTGGAAGTAGAATTCTGAAGGTGTCAAACCAGCAAGATAGGAATTTTCTACAAAACCTCTAGATTCAGGACCATAATCGTCTTTGATGAAATGCGGTAGAGTTCTCTTACGGAAACCAAATGGAATTCGTTTACCCTCTACGTTTTGCTGACCTACACAAGCAATAACCTGTAGCAGAAAATTTAAGGATTAAGAAAGTATAAGCACTACATAAAATAGCAAACCGATAATTGTAAGATTTCTTGCCTGTGAGATATTAATGTTGGATCCTTTAGAACCTGAGACGACCATAGCTTTTAAATTGTTGTATTCAGTCAAAGATTTCTTTGCTGATCCACCTGTTTTATCACGAGCATCATTGAGAATACGGTTGACCTGATAAAAGAAAGTGTAAACTAAGAATGTAAAAATTTTCAATTTCACTGGAAAGAGATTGATAGAAATTTGATTTTCTTATTGATGTACCTGATTTTCAAAAGTCTGCCTGAGTGTGTTACCAGGTGTAGGCTCAAGCTCCATATTATGAGCTTTTTGAATGACTTCTATGACATCAGCTTTGGCTTTCTTGATAGCATTCTGAATCTCAGAGTATGTCTGCCGATCAGCAATTGTATCACCAATACCAATGGAGTGGCCTAAGGTTTAATGAATTGGGGTTAGTTGCAATAAAAAAATAAAAATGAAGTTCTAGAGGTAAAAATAAAAAAAATAAAAAAACAGGAAAGAACATACCTTCCAACAGAAGCCAATTATTGACTACCGTCTGGATATTACCATAAAACTGGCCACAAACTTCATGTCCCAATTCCAAAAAAATCACGTGAAGAAGAGATCCAGGTGAAGTACCCAAAGTTTTCTTGCAGAGAATGCCTTTTACAAGTTCTCCATGCTCTACCATTACCTTTAAAAGAATCATTTAATACAATTACTTATTGACTTTACATTTAGAACATTTAAAAATTCTAACTCAAGTAAACACTTTATCGTACCTTTGTGTCACCAGGTGAAATCCATTTATATGGACCATCATCCTCTTCATCAGGATGAGTAGAATGTGTTCTGATCAAGTTAACATTTCCAGGAATAATAAGGGAAAACAATTGTTTACCTGTTTAGAAATAACAGGAGATGGCCAATTTTAGAAATAATAGATAGTAAAAATAAAATGTTTAATAATCTACTGCTGTAACATACCTGTCCAAAGGGGCTTAGGTTTAAGAATACAAGGTTGTGGCATTTTTCCATCCCAAATGGGTAGAAACATCAACAAGGTCATCATTTGTTCCTGCACAGCAACAAATAATATGATGCAGGAGTACGTACAAAGATGGATGCTAAGATAAAGAAATTTCCCACCATACCTTTTCAAGAAATACATCTCGTTTGGTCATTTTACGGACAGCTGTTAACGTATCTTGCACAATACCCATGACAGGTTGATTAGCCTGGGGAGTAATAATCTGACGGGGAGTGACATGAATATTCTCTACTTCAGCACGAGTCTCCATGGACTGGGGTACATGTAAATTCATTTCATCACCATCAAAGTCAGCATTGTAGGGGGAAGTGCAGCTGAAATTACAACATTAAACATTTCATAACTATCACCTTTAAAAAAAATCAATCTGAGACATTTTACAGGGCTTGTTTGTGATTGGCATGATTTGGAAAGTATACCTGAGGTTCATTCGGAATGTAGACCATGGCAAGACTTTCACTCTGTGGCCCATCATAGACATTTTATGTAAAGTAGGCTGTCTGTTGAATATAACCAAATCACCATCTCTAATATGGCGTTCTACTTTGTAGCCACATTGTAAGTGGAGATCAGATGTTTTAGGATGAAATCTTAAGTCAATACGTTCACCATTGTCTCTGACAATATATTTGGCTCCAGGGTACTGTGAGTTTCCTCTCCTAACAAGTTCTTGCATTCTGAAAATTGGTAGGTGGTGAAGAATAAATTGGCAGTGAAACTATAATAAGTATTATAAAGTATATGATAAGATCTACATAAAGCCATACTTGTCTATGTTAAAAGGTGTAACAATTTCAGGAAATGTCAGGTTTTGAGCAATTGAGCGAGGAACACCAACTTGGTCAATTCTCAAGTTTGGGTCAGGGGTAATGACAGTTCGAGCAGAAAAATCAACTCGTTTCCCCATAAGATTACCACGAATTCTTCCTTCTTTTCCTTTCAGTCTGGCTTTGATTGCTTTCAGTGGTTTCCCACTTTTCTGCATTGCTCTGTTAAAAAAGGAGAAAGTGTAGCAATAAGTATTTTACTCTACAGTGTTTCCATCAAAAGTTACAAGATAGGATTATTTAAGATTAGATTACATTAGTGCATAAATATATACCTTGGTAAGCCTGGCATGTCATTGTCAACCAATGTTGCTACATGGAACTGAAGCATCTTAATATTTTCGGCAAGAACATGTGTAGCAGCTCCAGCCTGTTCATTACGAAGTAACTCATTGTTCGCCTTTAAAATGTCGGATAGTTTGTGTGTTAAATCATCCTGAAAGAAGAAAGAGAAAGTGAAAAGAAGGGCAATAGCAATAAATATATTTGTTTAATAAGAACAGTAAACAACATCAAAAAGTTAAAAACATTATTCTGATCAGATTTCAAACTCAATTCATAACAGACCTGATTTCTAGCTGATCCATACATGACAACAGCTGGCCTAACACACAGTGGTGGAACTGGTAGACATGTCACTATCATCCAATCAGGCCTTGCAAACTTGGGATCCATACCAAGAATGAAACACTCCTCATCTGGTACAAAAATAGTCCCTTTATTAATACTGGAAGAGAACTACATAAGATGATTCAAAGTAAAGATAATAGTTTTACCTGTTATGTGCTTCAGAATTTCCCAAACTCTTTCAGCTGTCAAGGCAATTTTTTTCTCTTGAGAATCTTCATTGATGTGTTTCCACTCAGCAGATACGTCTAAGCCTACTCTCCTTAAGTTAGGCTGGTAACGACCACATCCTCCATGACCTTGTTTTCTTTGCTAAAACACACAAACAGGTTTCATTATAAGTGCTTACCAAATAGTAATAATATTAAGTTGTACACAACTCTTACCTGTTCCTTTCCAGGGTCATCAGGATTATCTTTGTTCATATCCATCTCATCACCCCCCTCACAAATATGCTTGCCTTTACATAAATCATACACAAAGGTCAAACGTTTCCTTGGCTGACCTTTGGATTTCATTACTATTTCTTTAATTTTGGGATTGTTCTGATAAATAAGATAATTTTTAAATGAGAAAAAGCAAAACATTTTGTTACAATGTGTAATAGAAGAAACAATACTTACAGGACTAACTAAGAGCTTTGAACAGTAGAAACAAACACATCTCAATATTTTTATTGTTTTGCTAATAAACCCTACATGAAAGACTGGTTTTGCCAAGTCAATATGCCCAAAATGACCAGGACACTCTGTCATGTTTCCTGCAAACACAAATATCATTTCAAAATTAGTGATAACACCCAAGTATATAAGAGGTGATGCATTCATTCTATCATTCTATCATTCATTCATTCATTTACAATGCTAAGGATTGTCAAATGATAAACGATAGAAAAAAGTCAGGAGAGTAAATGAATTAAGAGAAACCTTTAGAACAACATTTTCTTATAATAACAACCAACCTGCACAAGTTTGGCATCGGGAAGAACGATCAATGACACCCTGTCTTGGATCCATAAGCCCACCCAATTTTGGTCTACCACCTTCCATAGTTTCGGCATATTTAATCCCTCCCTCAGTGACCGACATACGTCGCTGGAAAGAAATAGGGTTCATAAATATCATTTACAGACAAAATCAGAGCAAATGTTAAAAACGATACGTTTAAGCTCAAAGAGAATAAAATTAAGATTAAAAATTACACAAATGAGAGATAATGATTAATGGCTTGTAACATGCATAAAGCCGGATTAGTTTGACATTCAACATGAAGGATTAACAAGGGCCATAGGGTGTAAACAAGATAGGTTAGGCACATTAGGTTGGCTACACCCTGAATTTTTCTTTAAGTTCATAAGGTTTTGAAATAAAACAATAAGGAAAACACATAAGAAAACTAGAGTATAGGTGGAATTAGGGGCTGACAACAAACATAATAAAAACATACGATGACCATCTAGGTACTCAAGGCTGATAGGCCACAGCGACTTGGCCAACAAGCATTTACGGCTGAAAAATGCGAAACTTTCGCTACCTAATAATCAAATGTGAAGCTGAACTCAACAGTAACAGAAAATGCATGAACTTACGATCTCATCGGGGGAGAGAATACCGAATTGGACTCTTTTGACATAGCGTATAGGCGCTTTCGAATCGTTCGTCGCCATTTTCTGCGACTCGACTGACTGGACTGAGCGCCAGCCAGCGCCTGCAGCCTGTAGTGCGCCTGTTTGGTTTTACGGCTACCGAAGAGGCTGTCGGGCAGAGAATATCAGCCTAAGTTGGCTTGATTTCTTGATTTTTTTTCACGTAACAATTATTGATCACATTCAAAGTTACTATTATCGGTGCTCTTAGAAAATAAAATTCAATAGCAGGAATCGCAATAATTACCCTGACAATATCTAGATGTTGGAAATCGTGAGCTGAAAACTTGTTATTTAGGTAGTACCCAGCCGTCGTCAGTGTAGTGGTGTTCGTTTGCGAATGTAATGTATGTGGAAGTATTGTGAATGCTGATAACAAAAGAAATAATTTAACCCGACATCCGAGAAAACTAGAATAGTGGAATATTGTGTATCATTCCAGCTATTGTTCCTAGCATCAACAATTTTCAAAATTGGAGACATCTCAGACATGAGCTTCCTATTGTAAGTACTGCTCCCTGCGTTCTCAGGTACCTTTGCTAGACATTAAGTAGCCTACTGATGATAATTGGAATAGTGTGATCCTGAGAAATGTGGCAGCCTGTCAGAAGCTTTTTACCTTTCCGTTGTAGTTACATTTATTATTAAAAAAATCATTAGCTGTAGGTAGTCAAAATTAATTTTCATTGACTTAATTTTTGCATTTTCTATGTTTAGTTATTGCAATGTCATATTTGTTGTTTGTTGCTGTTACACATTTTTTGGGGGGGAAATGTTTGCTTTAAGTTCCTTTTATGTTGCAAATCTTTGTGAGGTGGTTACTGTTTTGGGGGTCACAACCTCAATAGTCAAACATTTACTACCACTACATTTTCACAATTTACGAGGCCTGTTCGACAGGTTTAAAAAAAATTACTTATGAAACAATTGATAATACTTGAAAGCATTCTTTTTAAATGGTGCAATTGCTTCTTCCGAGCATGCTTCTTCAAAAAATTGTTTGCTTAATTAAAACAAGTTTCTGTTGCTTTTTCTTTGCAGTGGAGGCCGTTCATCTAAAACTTTTAAACCAAAGAAAAATATTCCTGAAGGGACTCATCAGTATGACCTAATGAAATATGCTGCTGCCACGCTTGGGTCAGGAAATTTGCGACTGGCTGTTCTGCTTCCAGAGGGCGAAGACCTGAACGAATGGGTTGCAGTGAACAGTAGGTTTCAGTTTTTAAACAAAAAAACTATAGTTCAGCTTATTTAAACCTCATTCTGCTTGAAAAAAAATCAGGATTACTTCTTAAATTATTTCATTCTTTACAATCTTTACATTTTTTACAGCTGTTGACTTTTTCAACCAAATAAATGTGCTCTATGGCACTATCACTGAGTTTTGCACTGAGGAGGTATGCCCTATCATGTCAGCCGGGCCCAAGTATGAGTATCATTGGGCGGATGGACATACTTTCAAAAAACCTATCAAATGTTCTGCACCTAAATATGTGGATTATCTTATGACATGGGTTCAAGACCAGTTGGATGATGAAACTATTTTTCCGTCCAAAATAGGTATTATATTTTAATTAATAGTTTTACTTGTGCCCCCTTTTAATATTATTTGACTTGTATTTACCCTCTTTGCATGTGTTTGGATGACAGGTGTCCCATTTCCAAAAAATTTTCTTTCAATAGCCAAAACAATTCTCAAGCGGCTGTTCAGGGTTTATGCACATCTGTACCATCAACATTTCTCAGAAGTGGTACAGTTAGGGGAAGAGGCCCATCTTAATACATCTTTCAAACACTTTATCTTCTTTGTGCAAGTAAGTCAAATCCTATTTCTCTGCTGCAAATTATTTTAGAGAAATCAGCTAAAGGGGGAATTTGAGCCCTACCTGTTCCTAAGTGGTCAAAGTGGTTCCTCATTTTGACGTCTGTCTGCACTCATCCTGATGTCATTGTGACTCAATATTTTATCCGCAAGTCACAATGACATCAGGATAAGTGAAAAATGAAAAAAAGAAAAATGTCAAGTTAAGAGACCATTTTGATGTCATGGTGACAGTCAGGGCTCAAATTCCTCCTTGGGAGAGACCAGCAATTCTTTCTGGAATTTAATTATTTCTCTGCCCTACTAAAAGCAAATTGTGTTTGTTTGTTTGTGTGTGTAGGAATTCAATCTTATTGACAGAAGAGAACTTGCTCCTCTTCAAGAATTAAGTGAAAAATTCACTGCAGGGGAGCGATGAGACTCATATTTAGACAAGTGATATCAGATGGGAGCTTGCTATTCTGATCTCATGTAGTTAGATTTGCATTGGGTTGCTTTAATGTGTCTTGTTTTAGCCGTGATGTGCACTGCCTCTTTTTGTTTCCAAGAAATTGTGCTGCCTTAAAGATTTGGAAAGATAGATTCAATTGTATTTGTTTATTATAGCCAGTTTGTAAATCTGTATTCTAATATATGTCTTTTTATGAACATGGTAAATACAGGAAGACTGCGTAAGACCAACTTTTTATACAAAACTAAAACTTAATCCATCCTAGTTTTTTGGATGATGTCGTAGTTTTTTGAATTGAAATTTGATAGATATATTTGTGGTGAGGCTAAATAATCAACTTAAAGCAACTATTCTTTGTTGATTTACCAACATGTGAGAATGATATGTTTGTCTACCACTATTACCCAAAGAATGAATAAAGTAACTTTCTATTATTTTGTTGCAATGAAATTTTAGGGTTAAAGTCACATTGGTGCAATAATTGTAATGTTGCCTCAAATATTCAGAGTTGCTATGATGTCCATTTCTTAAATTTTGACTACCAAAGCAGTAACTCATAGATGATAGTTAAAGATATTGTAATTTTTGTCTGTTAACTGTATAGTTTATATCTTACGAGCTATGAGAAAAGCTTTCATGCCCAAGTAAGAAACTTATCGACTATTAGACTTATTATTATCTTTCTAATTCTTACTGTGACTAAAGAAGTCATAGGAACAGTGTGAGTTAGAGGGATGTATTGTTTAGCTGGAAGCACTTTTGTTTTGTAAACTGTTACTTGCAAACATTCAATCAAAAGAATGTGCTCATACCCTTGTAAATATGTATAATTCTAATTCTCTTTGAATGACTAGGTGTGTGTTTGGATGTGCATATATGAGTCTTATTATTTATAGTTGTATAATTAGGCTGTTGCGAGATACATAATGTCAGTATATCAGGGATCCTAAATTTGTTTTACTGGTGTTGTTTGTTTTTGCCTTTCAAAATAAGTGAGACCCTCCTTGGGTTTTGTTTTGGACAAGTTACAATATTTCTTATGCCATATTTGTTGTTAATTCCCACATTGATAGTAATTTTTGTTTCAAATTATTTCTGTATTCTATGAACTATGTCCTCTGCACCCTCAGGTTGCTTGACACACCACAAAGTGGTTATAATGAGGTTTTAGAACAATCAAAAGGCTATCAATCACCTCAAACACAAGTAACTAAGTCTATGTATGTAGTGCAATTTTCAAGATGCATATCACTCTTTCCATGCATTTCTGTCACAGCTTCTTGATTATCTTTTTTTCCATGTCATTCGTTATTTGTTATGAGAAATAGATCAGGTAGTAAATGATGTGCTTTCTCACCTATAAATGCCAGTTTCTCACAAATCTTTTGTCAAAGTCTATGATTTGTGCTCATTTTTTAAATTTATTTTTTGACAGTTCTTAAAATCCAATGATTGTAGGCATAGGAATTCATTAATTACTGTAGGAAAGTATTTTTTAGGGCACTGCTTTGGCTTAAGGTGCAGACTCATCAAGAATATACCATTAGACTGTTGTTTGATAAATTGTGTACTTTTGACAAATCTTTTGGAAAATTACAACAACAAAAAAAACAAAAAAAAGTAATTGGACTTGGGAACCATATTCTTACCTTAAATGTGATAAAGCCTGTTGGTGAGACAAGGGTTTGGAACTGGCTTGTGATTTTTAACAAACTCAAAGTGGTAGTAGGAACTGTAGAAACCTTCGCACTGCTAAGACTTTGTTGAGTATTTTGAATTGTAATTGTCAGCAAACATTTCCATTTAATAAATTCCTTCTTTCTTCTGATGTGTACTACCTGTCTTCAAAACATTTTGAAAATGTGGGAAATGTTTTAAAGCTCTTCATGGACTGGTATTTCATGATGAATTTATAAAGAATCATTGATACAAAATACAAGGTTTATTACATACACTAGAAAAATCCTTTTCTGTTATTTTCACTATGCCTAACCCCTCCAACAAATGCCTGTTTAAAAGTTTTGTCGCCTTACATAGTCCCATTTCAAATTAGTACCACAGGAAAATTGCAAAATATAAAAAGATGTTGAAAGTGGCAAAATTGACACATGTAACAATTATGTGCTCATTAAATAAATCACTATGGGCAAATTCTTTTTTTAACAAATTTTAGATGAAACAGTTCAGGGCTGTTGAGTAGTCATAGAGAGACGAGAGTTAAAACATTAGAAGGGGAAATACCAGCCTTACAACCCAACACATTAGCAAATTTTATTTGAAGACAACTGTATCCAGCATTGCTCCAAGACATTGAACAATGTTGGCAGCCATAAGTACATCAACCTTTTCTTCTAAATGTCTCTTTGGATCTTGTTTTCCTACATTTTTAATTGCAAGCTGTTCAGGTGTCATTTTTTCTTCATCCTCCAAAGCCTGAAAAAAATTACATGCATGTATGAATCAATTAAACGAAAAATAATTTGCCTGAAAGATAAAATATCTTACAACAGAAGAAAACAACAAGAATAACTTTTTTACGTGCAAATAATGCCTACTAACTTTGTTGTAATTCTTGGCAAGGTCAAGCATGTTCGAAACAGTATCTTCATTAAGTTTGCAGTGTTCAGCATAATCAGCAAGAGTCAGACCATCCATCCAAGACTTTTTATGTAAATTAAGGAGCATTTTCTGCTCAAGTTCATTTTTCCTGTAGTTAATACTGATGGAATAATAGTGACGATTCAAGCCATGTATTAAAGCCTGTGAGAAAAAAATTGATAGATTGATTGCGCTTCAAAACACAAGTATCTTCAACTAAAACTCCAGCAAACCTGAACAGAAGGCTTCTGTAGATGCCCAAGGTTGGATGTGGTTTGTCTAGGTTCTTGCCCCAGAACCATCATGTTGGGATTGATGAGCCGGAATGCATCAATCACAACCTTGCCTGTAAACAAAGATAACTTGAGTTTGATTACATTTTCTTACGAAAGAAGAGAAAATGATCATATTGAACCCACCTTTAACACTCTGAATGGGGTCAACAACAACTGCAACAGCTCGTTCTGAAAGTGCCTCAAAGCTTTGCTGTGTGTTGATATCGACCCCCGAAAGCCAGCAGCCGAAACCAGGATGAGAGTGGTACCAGCCAACAACCATTTCTGGCCTACCAGTTTGTTTTAACATATCCAACATTTTGGCTTGAAAGACTGGGTCAACAGCTTCAACACTAACACCCTGTTAAGTAAAAATTAGAAAGTTAATAAAATCAGAGAGTTCAAAGACACACTCAATCTGTATTGTGGATGAATTAAAAATCAGTTAAGTTAGGAATCTAAGTTCATGAATTCTGAACAAAAAGTAAACTTACAGTTCCTGTCTGTGGCATTGCAAATACATCAATAACTCGAACTGTGTAGTCGTCGACAAACTCTCCCAGCATCAACCCCATCACTTCCATGGGGACGCCAGCACGTCCATGTTTCAACATTTTCAGCAATGCCAGGGAAGATATGTAAACTTGCTCAGCAGTATCAACTGCAGGGGCATCAGAAGAAGGTGGTGGCTGGCTTAAACCAGGCATTCCCCCACCTAGCCGGAGAAGGCGATCCATGATTTCCTAAATGAAAACAAAAAAAAATTAATAAAAACAACTGAAAATCTTAGAGAACATTCAAAACTTGGAATGAACAGCAGAATGGTAACAAAGAGACCAAACCAAAACTCTGTCTGATATTTCATATAAGTTGGACAAAATGCTAATATGTCATCTGTCAACCCCAATATAATATAAGACGTAATATGAACAGTGCTATTAATTACAAGGCTAATTGCCAAATGACTAAAATTCAAGAGTATGAGTTTTCTTTTCGTAATAAAGAGTGTGAATTACGATTCTTCTCGGATAAAGGCAAAATTGTAAGACACTGAGTCGGTGACATGCAAAAAAGACACTCAAGAGTGTTAAGAGGTTAGGTGTCTGTCGCTTTAAAAACTTGAACAAAATCAAGATTGAAGAGGAAAGTGATAAGTTTTCGATTAATAAAAAAACTGGTAGAACAGTTCAAAACACACAAGAGGCTTACTTTGATGTGAAAATTGACTTTATCTTCAATTAAAACAGAATTCAAGCCCGCTTTGTCACCGTCGGTGCAAGAACAATGTCGGTGTGTCGGTGTCTGTTGTGCCCTGTTCACTCACTCACGCTGTAGTTCTCCCGGATGGAATGAATGGTTTTCTGGTATTGTGAAGGTTGGCAATGGTGGTCCTGGTACACAAAATGTCGTCTTGAGTGTTGGTAATCCAGCAGGCTCTGAAATATTCCGACAGATAATAACAAATGTTGGATTAGATGTGTAAAATTCACTTTATATTGGTGAAGGATCTGGTAGTTGTACCTGTTTTACAGTAGGTTTAGCTCTAAGGAATATGAAGAGAAGAAATGCCGACTGTAAGCTTCGGAGGCCGTTAAAGAAAACGAAAATAACGGATGGAATTTGGGGAAGGTAAGGCACTTCTCCATATGTGTTTCAAAATGGCTGACATATAACCCTATCACCCTTTACTTTCTCTTGACTGGGCGTCTTTGAAATAACCCTTTTACTGACCAACCACTTGTTTCGAGGGATTTGCGAATTTTTTAAGCTAGTTAATTCTTGATCGGTGGCTCCCACCTATCTCTATTGTTTGTTGTCTTAAGTGTTGTTTTTTTTGTGTGCCTCCCCATCCTGTTTTCTTTCCAACTCTTAGCTTATTATTTTGATTTCAGTTATTTCTCTGGTCTCTCTTTCCTCTGCATTATATATATATATCTCTAAAAAGAAGTCCATTTTAACCCTTGTCAGTTTTTATCAGACTTGTTTTCTGATCTATTATCTACCACTACCACTGTCATTCATTCATTGTAATATTAACAATTCTGATTTCTTCTTTCATTCAATATCTCTTGTTTATATTTAGTCCAGTGATTTTTCTATGGATCACTATGCTCTTGACCCCTATAAATGTATTTTTTACATTATTTTTTTTTGTGCTGTTCATGTGTTTCAGTTCTTTGTTGTACTTGAAGTTCTTTGTGCTATGGGCGCTGGTGCTCCTTGCAGACTTCCTCCTTGAATTCAGATTTGAATACTTGTGGCCATTTTACTTACTTCTTCGGAGTGTTTACGATTCATTCAAATATCAAGGCCTGGTAAGTGTCACAACTTCACATTTCTTGTTTTGATTAGTTTTGAGTTTTGTGAACTGTCATATGTTTCTGCTTTCAGGCCTTCTCAGTCTTTTTCATCTGTATAGCATTAACATCAGATATGATCTGTTTGTTTTTCATTCCTGTGCATTGGTTATTTTTTGCTGCAAGCACATATGTTTGGGTGCAGTATGTTTGGCACACAGGTAGGACAGTGGGGAAGTAAATAAACTTAAACAGATAGCAAAAATATTTATTTTATTTTTGAAAAATTTTGTTGTCTTACAGAGAAAGGTCTTTGTTTGCCCACTTGCATCCTGTGGATGGTATTTGTATACATGGAAGTAGCAGTGAGGCTACGAGATGTACGTCACATGCCATTCCATTTAGATCTTTGTAGACCCTTTGCAGCTCACTGGTAACTTTTGAAATTTCTCTCTGCTTATTCCTGGACTGTTTGTATCAGATGATTTTATTTAACTGTTATCTCTTTTTCATTTAGCATTGGATATCCTGTAGTAACTTTAGGATTTGGTTTTAAAAGTTATATTGGTTACAGAATGAGACAGGTAAGAATCAAACTTTTAAGAACATACTGTACCTAAATCAATAGAGTTCTAGAAATCTTTTTGTGATATTCTCAAATTTGCTCTACCCACCAGAGAAAACAAAAAGATGTAGCAAAAGAGAATGAATTTTATATGCAGTTGCTTAGACAAGCATTACCCCCAGAGGTGCAACAGCAGCAGCTTCAACAACAACAACAGTTGCAGCAGCAACAGCAGCAACACCAACAACAACAAAGTCAACCTCAGTCAACCCCTGACAAAGTTAAAGGTACTATCATAAAGTTTTCAATTCCAGGAAATCTTTTAATTGAATACAAGGACAGTATCAGAAATGTTTAAATGTTGCCAGGTGAAACTAATGGTGTTGCTCATCAAGTCATAACAAACTCAATTCCCTTAGCTAAGAAAGATCATAAAAAGCATCCAGAAAAGGGGGAACGTGATAAGGAGAAAGAGAAAGTAGTCCCTCAAACAAACGAAACTGCTGCAGAAAAATGCACGTACAAATTTTCACATTCAAATGGGTCTCTCCTTAATGGAGACATCGAAATTATTGAAAGAATTGGGTATGTGTGCATTCTTCTCAAAATACCATTTGGCTTTCAAGAATGCCCTCCTTAGTTTGCTTGATCTATCATGTGTATTATTAATTGTGTATTTTTTATATTCAACTTTTTTAAGATCTGTCAATGATTTTGATGAAAATGAAGAGCATGACAAAAGTGTTAAAGGCTGTCAAAGTCTGAAATCCCATGGATCTAATGGATCAACAAACAGTAGGTGGACCAGTTCACAAGTCAGAGAAAATTCTATGAATACTCAACGCGAACGCCGAAATAAAGCGAACAGAGACACATCAGATAGCTCCAGCAATAGTTCATCAAGGGATGACTATTATCAGAGGTATTAGCCTTTAGAATGTTATTTTTAAAATTTTCTTTCATTCCATCTTATATTACAAGCATATCAAA